TATATATATAATTATGAACTTGGGCGCTCGGAATCGCAAACAAAATCCTAGCTCAAAATAAATCTACATGTCTGTCCCAAGTTACCCCACGATGTCCTCTGCTCATCTCAGTCAAGGATTATCCCACAAGATTAGATCACTAACATCAAATTCGATCTAGCCGGCCCAGCTAGCCGTGAATGTCCTCAACCAACTAACTCTTGGCTGCCGAGTGCGTGTAACAAACAAAACACTTATGTATATAAATGCTACTCCTTGACCCGAGGCGATGTCATCTTTCATCCGAGTCTATTATCGAACATCTGCTGACACTAAAGTGGTCGGGAATCCCTGTTCTTTCTTACTCGAATGATGTTGCCAACTGCAATGATTCCCGACTACGCCTTACTTTTGTTGCTATTACTGCTGCAACAATCAATGATGATGAGGGTCAGTGGCACAGCTGTGTAAATAAGACGGTTTGTGATCTGATTTCCTCTGTGCTTATATATATATATACATATATCACAAAGTCTCACCTACGCTCGTTGCACTTGAACTGCCACCGGTCGCAAGTGAGAAAACGTAGACGAATAGATCTTCACAGTCCACGGGCGAATACCCACACAGCTCCGATGACTACTTTTGTAAAAGCGTCAATAAAAGCGCGTCATCCCAACATATTCGGATTTTGCGCTTTTATTGACGATCTTTTACCTGAACTAACGATGTCGCTGTGCAGACATGACACGTCCACCCGGACGCGTGATGTAACCGATAAAACCAAAATGTATGTCGCTTGTCACCGATAAGCAAACGGGTTCTCTCGCGCAAATGCGGGTGGACAGCTACAGTGGGACGTTGTTAGAAACAATCGAAATCCTTTGCGAAATAGTCTACGAACAAGCTATTGCAAGTTGTTTATCGCTAACATCCCATGGCAGCAGTCACGGCGACATTTGCACGGGACTCTCACGTGAACAAACAAGTATGTTTCAATCTTGTATCGCAGCCAATATGTCCATTCAAATGTAATAAACCATGCCTTGAACGCTTGATAGAAGGTTATAGAACAATCTACTCTTCATTGATGAAATGGTGTATGTAACAGACGTGCGTTTTTGTACACATCCGTCAGATGTACTGATCACACTCTGATGCCAGCGCTGTCAGACGGCATGTACTTGTCATTCGTATTTGTTTCAAATTTCTTGGTTAACTGTTTTTACCGGCGTCTGATATGTTCCACCAGGACTCTCACCTTTCAGAAATAGAAACTGAATCATAGAACATTGATCTAAATAGTATTTTTGCTTTAAAATTTATTATTCTCTGATGGCACTTAATTAGCTAATAGTTGATTTAAATATTTACCACATCTGATTTTCTAATACCATTTTGTTTAAAAACTGTCAACATTTCTCGACCAGTTTTCGTAGTTGTTTTACAGTGCCTAGAAGCTCTGTTCAAGTGAGGTACATCCCGAGAAATAAAGATCATCATAACATTTGCCCTCAAGATTAGTTAATTTAATCATTGAAAGTATTAGACAATAACATTTACCACGGCTATTTTTAACGAAAATCGTAGCGGATAATGTATTGGTTTGGGGTGCTCAATATATATCTATATAGATATATATATATTTTTACGGTCTTAACGCATAGGGAACTGTTTGATGAAGTAACTTTTATGAGTTGTAAAAGCTACTGAAAATCTTTACTCACCTAAATGATAGGTGCATATCATTCATTTTACTGTAGTATATACTCGGCCCTACGTCGGCTACAATCTGCGTTTGAGCTGAACGGAAGAAACCCCATATTTCAGCAAATGATGATACCGAATAAAAGTTATAGCTTTTAATATTAAACTATTACGATTTTAATAGAAAATAACTTGTGTGCCCCGCCTGCGTAAACGTGCAGGGAACTGACACTACTGCGTCCTAAGAGCTTTTTGAGAAACTATGTATGCTAAGCCTTATACGGTCTTCGAAACAACTAGCGACTAGAAGCATATAAAGCTAATACGTTAACCTAATTTGTTTATTTCGAAAAAAGTAACGATCTTAAATGCAACGAAGCATTCGACAGTTAATCAGCAGCCCATTGACTATACCGAATATTAGGGTGATAAAAATTTGTATCGCCTAGATACAGCATTAGACATTTTAACTACGAGGAAATCGCTCACTGCAATTACGGCTGCTGCAGGCGCAGGCACTCAACAGCAGGCCTCGAACCTTGATTACTCGTGTACAACCAAAAATATAAGTAACTTCTCCAGTTAACTTTTGTTCCGTGCCGAGTAATTATTCATTGTCAACTATGTCACACTCAACTGTGTGCGTGATTAAATAGTTTCAGGTCAATACGTCCTGAGCAACACATACTGCGACTGTATAATTATTAATACATACATGTTGACAGGTCACTAGCAGAATGATCTCGTGTCCTTCTGACAAAACCGTAGCTCTTTACTGTTAATGGTTTTCCCTCACAAAGCGTTAACTTACGGATTTAGAAATGAGCTAACGTGGAATCGATCAGACCAAATTGAACGTGTCCACCCAACACGCGTTTTTACCGAAAGAACTTGCCTATGCATCTAAGTATATCTAAGCGTTAGAACATTACTTCGAGTCTTTCCCAATCTGATGGCGTAAATTTCCTTAAATTATCATATTTATTACTATTGCACTACGGCCCTTGGCTAACTAACATTTTAGCGATAGAACTTGTTCGCACGCACCGTTTTAGTTTAAATTGAAAGCAAAAGGACAGCTTGTGTAACTTGAAACATATCCTAAATGTTTTCTATTCCCAGTGAACATCTTTATTTGAGCTTATGCCTAACTTCGGGGATTATTGTGACGTAAAGAAGTAAAATTTGCGTCACGCCACGTTGCCAGGTGAATTGTGATTAAGAATGACTTGTTTTTTCAGAATTTTTCAATAAGCCCATACTTTGATTAGCTAGAAAACGCAGTTAAACCTTAAAAAAATAGTAGTAAAAGGTAACAGTTAAATGGAAATAAACCAGACGTAAATATAATAATAATAATAATGTAACATGTTTAATTCTAATGTCGCCCATACTAGACGTGGTAAAATACGAGCGAATTTCATACGTGTATGGCATGAAGCAACCAGATCCGAATACGGCACCCCTTCCATATGAGCAGATCTATACGTGCTAGTCTATTAAGCCAATTTAATTTCGGGTCTATAATTGAACGCGCATGGAAAAATAATGGTGTTATCGAACGTACTTGCTGTTGCTGGAGAACGTCTGTCCGTGTCATAGGACGCCACTTCCGAGAGACGAACTACAGATGAAGACTCCACATCTGAAATTGGACAAAAACAATAGCAACAACAACAAAAAACAGTTTACAATATAGTCAGCATACAAACATCAGAAGCACGCATGTTTCCGGAAAAGATGAATTTGGTCGCAGAGATCATGAATGTATCCTTATCTCACCCTACGAATAATAGACAGGTTACTATTTAATCCGGTCGATTTTGACGATAGAGCTGACAAAGCAAATGAAAATCCCTGACTCCTACCTGACCATTACAAGGTGGTGAAACCTCCCTACATAATATCGAGTATATGACGCGAATTAATGAGACCAGTGGTGAACAGACACGATTAAATAAAAAAGCAAATTTTCATAAAAATATATTTAAAAGCAACGGACAAGCATGTTGAGACTCATGCCAAACACGAGGATGAATGTACAACATTACGACATGTTTGTAATGTGGTCAGTTCCTCGCCCATTTACTTGGAGACCCCACGCGACACGGCGTTTTGGAGAGACGAAATCCACGTAAAACAGGAGGGAATGCAAGCAAACGGAAACCTATGTCTTAGAAAACACCAAACTTTGTCATACAGACAAAAATATCAGAGTACTCAATTTGTGATCAGTCAATTAACTAAATTTTCTTATCGACGCTATAGGATAAACCATTATCGATCGTCATGAAGACAGGAAGACACACCAAAGCACGACACGACATGCGTGTAGGATATTTTCATCATTTGCAAACCGTCGAATACGATGCAGCGGTTGCATGAATACAATTTAGATCATTACAGATAAACGACAATCTATCTTCTCCGTACAATTTGAATAACTAAAAAAAAAACATTTAATTTAGAATTGAATAGCTAGCGACATGCGAAAACTACATTTATATGAGCCTCATACATCAGAGACTCATTCATGTATGTATTCATATGCGTATGATTAAGGTTTTTACGTAATGATGAACCTAAAGACTTGTTTGGCTGCTATTCGTTTCGTCTTTTGTATATACTGTATTAGGAAAATCAACTCAGTCTGGCTGTTACATTGGCAGCGGCCATGAGCAAACTTATCGAAGCTTTGAAATCTAGTATATGAAGATTTTATATATTTTATCAAAAATCTCTTGTACCTTGAGAGTGCCATGAAAATTACTCAACCACATCCGTTGAAAAAATACCACAAAAAAATATTATTAATCCTAATAAGTTGTTTATCATCAATTATCATGCAAATGCGGATTCTTTTATGCTAGATACGAAACCACGAAAAACTTAAACATTTCTGCATCGTATGTCCCTTTTGTAGGAAGCTTCAAGAAGTCAACCAAACTGTTTGATATTCTTTTAAATAACTTTTCCAACTATGTTATAATTCTTCAAATTGATTATTAGCAAAGCGCTCCCAAAACAAAAAAATATTTAACTAGTTTTAAAAATCCCGTCGCGTCCATTTTCGAAAGGGTTATGGATTATAAAAGCTAATAAAACGCCTCTATTCAACAATCAGAATACGAACGAGCATGTACCTCTACCAGCGCGTTATTTCTTAGTGGATTTTTTGCCCTCTCCTATTTAATCTTACTAGATAGCTGTTTACTCTATACAGTGGCCTAAGGTTAGAATATAGACAAATTAGAATATAGGCCAAAACCTGCCGTTGTTTGGTACTTTATCGGCAACTCGACCGCTACGCTTCAACTAAATAAAGCTAGAAATTTCACTGTCATCGTCATTAGCATCTGGCCTTCTACTAGAAAGTTTCGATGTCTGTTCCATTGTAATGTCGCGGCACAGCAAAAATTTTGGAAACACAATTGAAAAGGATCAGGATAGATATGTCATTAAGAAGAAACAAATGCTTCCTTTTTCGAACCTTCGTTCGTTCACCAACAAACTAAAAGGAAGCTGTAATAACTGATATGAAAGGTGAGCTAACTATGGCAAACGTGTCTGCAACGACGCAGGCAACCGACGACAGTTTGTAGCACAAAACTAAAGCAAAAATAGTACTTCATTATCAGCGATACTCTACTACTAGTCATCGCATTTTTAAACACGAACGATGTACGCCATATATAATTACATGTCCGTGTGACTCTCTTTCGCGTGCACAATGGCCATAATCCTCCCCTCAGACGGGTTAACTCCTCTGTGGAGTCTTTGAACACTGCAATATTGCACATTGATGGGTCATCCAGCCGGAGCTGAACGGTGGACAGATTCCGGAGAAGATTCAGCTGAAGGGGCGTTTCTGCGTTCCTCTGTAACTACTATAATCTTACTGACTAATAATATTTATACTAAGTATAAGCAACAGCAGGCTTCACCTGTGTGTAAAAAGCTGCAAACGGCGACGCCGTCTGAGAGAAATAGGTTAGTATATGCTATCATAATAGCAGTAATCCTGAGCTATAAACGCAGTTACCCAAACCGACCTGAACTGAGCTGTATTAACAGCTCTACCTGAACTAAAAACCTGTTCAAACGTCTTTCTAGATACGACCCAACATATTTGCCCGTTGACGTATGTTACACCATGCAGTACTAGTGAAAGCTCATCAATAAACAAAACAAAAACTGACGCAGTGAATCCTTAACACTATCGGTGTCAGCTCATCTTTCGTATTATTTATGTCGCACATCAAAATAAGTTGGCTTATCGTATTAAACAGCCGTACGCAATGCTTTGACGCTGTCCAGCGCAGTGCTGAACAAAGGTACAGATGCAGACCAAACAAGGAAACAACGCCAAATACGTCTCTCTACGAAAAAAACCTTATAACTGCGCGGAGATAGTAAGCGAATATCAGGGGCTGTTATGGCGAAAAACATGAGACACCTCCTGACCTGGCTGAACGAGTGGGTGGTTAGTCAAATTTATGTCGTGCAACTATCCATCATATATATATATATTGGCGATCAAATCCACCTTGGAAGGCTGCGCGTTTAATCGCCAAGCTATATGCTACGACGCGACAAACAAACTGGAGTGATTAGGAAGAAACGTAAAATGACAGTGATAATATCTGTTGATCAATACAGTAATCGTGTGGAATCAGTGAGACGCGTGTCTTTTTGTCCTAGAAATTCTAGTATCGAGGAAGCTTCGTTCATTGCTATGAAGGTGTTAAATTAAAGTAAAAAAATTAATATAGTTAAGCACTCTCAAGCCACTATCAAACTAAACAGCCGAGCGCCAAAGACTTTTTTTTTTTCTATTTCGCTCGTTAAATTTCTATCGTCGCATTCACTGAGTTTGCTCTCAGATGTCGGACGCTTTAATTCTACGGGTCATCATTTACATACTGAAATGCCACAAGAATCAGATCGAAATCGCGGTATAATCTTGCCCTCTTTAATTGTGAACGTTTCTAGGGATGCACACACGTACGGTGGAGCAGGCATGGCCTTCGATCATCGATCGATTCAAAAATTCCTATGCGGAAATAAGCAGACACAGTTTTCTAACAGTTTTAACTATCCGAGCTGGCATACTTTAATAGTAACGCTGATAATTCTATGCCGTTCGAAATAAGATAAAAGAAAGGCTCACAATAATATACTAATGTTATTTTTCTCAATATCGTTGATACATCTGTTGGCCAACATTGTTAACAGACATCTCGAAAACGAATATATATTATAGGTGTTTCATAGTTGATAAAGATCACATAGAAACATTTATTTAATGTATTACGTTAGCGTATGAGCTTGAAGCATATTGCTGTTATTGCTATTACGTTAATAAAAAAATCGCGTACGTCCCGCATATCCAGCCCTCAATATGGCATGTGTGTTTGGCAACTTCACGTCAAGGCACACGCCGTTGAGCACTTTAAATAGGTTCATCTACACGTGACTTGTAAGTTTGATAGTGTAGAATCATTAAAACTTCGAAGATTACACTATTTTTTTTTAATCTTTTTTAGTGAATTTACACTTATTCATTTTATGTATCGAACAGCCTATTCGACTTTAGAGTTTGCTGATAGATAAGCTTATTTCTTACCCACTGCTAACTTGTGGGAAGTACAAGCAGTAAACAGATGATTAATCTGGCCTTCAAAGACTAGTTGATAGAGCTAAGACGCCTACAAACAACGACGTCACATGGGAATTGAGCGATGTCGTGGTCAGGAAGACTAACTTCTGTCATAAAGGAATGCACTGCAGAAACGCAGTGTAGAATGCGCTCATTGCCATTAAAGAAAACATCGAACGGCTGGTAGAAAGTAAGCAAACACGAAAAGCAAATATGTCCCATTCTATCTTAGAAGTAAGTATTGGTTTGGACTCTAAGTCATCGCGTGTTTATGTTGTTCAAAATATTTCTTTTTCATCTTAATTATCTCCTTTGCGTGCATCGTTATTTTAAAACTTTTGGTCTTTTCTAAAAGCGTGTGTTTTGACTAAGAAAAGAGCCCTGTTTTTTTCGCATAATACTGGAGAAAGGTGCATTTTCGACCCTGTTTTGTTATACTTCATATTTCTCTGAGATCAGACTCAACGTGAAGCATTGAAAAGAATTTCTGCAGTGGACGAAAAAAATCGAACGTTGGTTTGTGAAAAAAGTGTCAAGACCGGGAGTGAACGACCGCTTGAGCTCGACCTAGAGGTACTGTCGAGGAATGCTAGCTGCTAGGAGATGCACACATCGGTTAAAAGCTTGAGTCGATTTTAGACAACAACCGTGATACATTATAAGAGGTTCTGAATAAGCGGCAAAGCCAACTTAACAGCTCACTATTTAATATAATGGCTTTACTTTGCATTTCCATTATTGATCTGTGACCCAAGGCAGTCGTTGCTAATAACGATACGTTTACAGTAGCGCGTTTTACAGTCGGTATTTATCGATGAAGTTCGCTTTTGTTTATCTACGTGCAGCAAGGTTTTACCGAACATAAGCTATATAACATTCTTAAGAAGCCCAATTAGTTAGTTAACTAAGACGCGTCAAACATGAGGAGGATAACATACGTACACCTATTCATGTCGTCTATGCACATAGGCAGCAGATACCTGGGC